ATCGTCCTTTCGAAGTTGGCATTTAAGGCTGTGGCTGACAAGTCCTTCAGTAGGAGGTATTCCATGTAACCTGTGACATGAAAGCCCTGGGTTCACATAAGAGCCAGATTTGTATTGTAAATACTTGGTATGGAGAGGAAAGCTCAAATGGTAGAGCTATAAATTGGAAGTGCTGGTCTCCCATAGTAAAACGTAGAAAAATTTGATATGAGGGGACAAAGGTGATGCGTAAATCATCTTGTATGTCTACTGATGTAAAATATGATAAGCAAGATAGATCTTGGTGATTCTATCCAGAATTCTGGTACACAGAGACCTGCTCAGAGAATTTAAGTCCAGTATGTCACCATTTAGGAGACTTAAATAGAAACCTTGAAACAATTCTTTTAAAGGGACTGGTATAACCACTCCTTGTGCCTGAAGTTGGTGCAACACAGTTCTCAACTCACACATTCCTAAAAAGTGGCTGTGTGTGTAAATGGGTGCTGCAGGGACCACCAGTTGGAACCAAAACATAATCAGAGCGAGAGAATGTCACCAGCACACCATGGTTCTCTAGAATGGGCCCAAAGCTTATTCAACGATCACATCATTATAGCAGAAACAATGTTTCAGAGCCTTGCAGGGCCCCTTAATCAGGCAGTCACATACCTGATGATGGGGTCCTGTGAGGCTCTGAAATGTTGCTTCTGTTATAATGATGTGATCGCTTAATAAAGCTTTGGACCTGTTCTGGAGATCCATTTTGTGCTGGTGACATTCTCTTGCTCTGAAGTTGGTGTAAGGCGGATATTAAATCTGCCTTCTATTGTTCTGAAGTTGGCAGATTAGAAGGTAAAAGCAAGGAGGGGAAGAGATGGAAACTCTATTTTAAACTTCTTTAAAATTACTTGTGAACAAATGTTGGCAACATGGCGAAAAGTAATCTTTATTGAAAACGAAGAGTAAAATGTTCCATAGCACGACCCACGCTAATACATTTCAGTCCAGAAAAGACCTTATTCATAGCCTGGTTACAAAAAACTGAAGACACAAATATATAACAGACCGATCTTACCACTCACCTCCTACAATTCCAATAATTGTTTCCACCTGCAAATGCAGGAAGGTAGGTGGGTGGGTCATCAGCCACCATAAGAATGGATACACTGCCATAATCAATCATATAAAAATACAAAGCTATTGCAGGGACATATCCAACCTTTGCAATATATAATATATATAAAAAATATAAAGAGTATAAGAGTAGAGGATGGTAGAAAACACAAACCACTATTGGCAAAAGGTGGACTAAAAGTTAACCCAAATGCAGATCAAGGTCCCACCTGAGGTTCAAACCCTGAGGTAACCTGGTCCTCAAATGATGAATCCACCAAGCCTCTCTCTGCAATAATCTGTGGTGTCTATTTCCTTCTTTTTGCAATACACTCCTTCTATGCCACAGAATTGAAAAAAGGACATTCTCTTGTGGCATGTGGCAAATGCCAATAGAGCTCTATGGTGCCAGGCAGTGAGCACAAGGCCCACTAGAGTACATTGGGCCCTCAGGCCACCCTCATGAAGTCTGTTTCTGATTGTTTGGTCAGAGACATTCACACCAGTGGCCTGCTGGAGATCATTTTGTAGGGCTCTGGCAGTGCTTATCCTCTTCTTCCTTGCACAAAGGAGCAGATACTGGTCCTGCAGATGTGTTAAGGACCTTCTACAGCCCTGTCACGCTCTCCTAGAGTAACTGCCTGTCTCCTAGATGCTCCTCCATGCTCTTGAGACTGTGCTGGGAGACAGCAAACCTTCTGGCATTGGCACGTATTGATGTGCCATGCTGGAGGAGTTGGACTGCCTATGCAACCTCTGTAGGGTCCAGGTATAGCCTCATGCTACCAGTAGTGACACTGACCCTAGCCAAATGCAAAACTAGTGAAAAACAGTCAGAAAAGATGAGTAGGGAAAAAAATGTCAGTGGCCTCCACCTGTAAAACCATTCCTGTTTTGGGGATAAACTCATTGTTGATCATCTAGTGCAACCCCCTCTGGTACTTAACTGACCAGATCAATATCCTGGGAGTTTAATTGACTTGATGCCATACTCTGATTAAAAAGTGTTCCTTTAATTTTTTTTGAGTTATCGAGGGGAAGGTAGTGCAGGCTGTGACAGAGATGTTTATAGAATTCCTCTATGGAGTATACAGCAGAGGCTGTGACAGAGATGTATATGCAGGAATCCCTCCATGCAATATACAGCAGAGGCCGTGACACAGATGTATATACAGGAATTCCTCCATGCAGTATACAGCAGAGGCTGTGACAGAGATGTATATACAGGAATTCCCCCATGCAGTATACAGCAGAGGCCGTGACAGAGATGTATATGCAGGAATCCCTCCATGCAGTATACAGCAGAGGCTGTGACAGAGATGTATATGCAGGAATCCCTCCATGCAGTATACAGCAGAGGCTGTGACAGAGATGTATATAGAATCCCTCAATGAAGTATACAGCAGAGGCTGTGACAGATGTATATAGAATCCCTCCATGCAGTATACAGCAGAGGCTGTGACAGAGATGTATATACAGGAATCCCTCCATGCAGTATACGGCAGAGGCTGTGACAGAGATGTATATACAGGAATCCCTCCATGTAGTATACGGCAGAGGCCGTGACAGATGATGTATATACAGGAATCCCTCCATGCAGTATACGGCAGAGGCCATGACAGAGATGTATATACAGGAATCCCTCCATGCAGTATACGGCAGAGGCTGTGACAGAGATGTATATACAGAATCCCTCCATGCAGTATACAGCAGAGGCTGTGACAGAGATGTATATACAGGAATCCCTCCATGCAGTATACAGCAGAGGCTGTGACAGAGATGTATATACAGGAATCCCTCCATGCAGTATACAGCAGAGGCTGTGACAGAGATGTATATACAGGAATCCCTCCATGCAGTATACAGCAGAGGCTGTGACAGAGATGTATATAGAATCCCTCCATGCAGTATACAGCAGTGGGATGTACAGCAGAATCCTATACAGCAGAGGCTGTGACAGAGATGTATATACAGGAATCCCTCCATGCAGTATACAGCAGAGGCCGGGACAGAGATGTATATACAGGAATCCCTCCATGCAGTATACAGCAGAGGCCGTGACAGAGATGTATATATACAGGAATCCCTCCATGCAGTATACAGCAGAGGCCGTGACAGAGATGTATATATAGAATCCCTCCATGCAGTATACAGCAGAGGCTGTGACAGAGATGTATATACAGGAATCCCTCCATGCAGTATACAGCAGAGAGGCTGTGACAGAGATGTATATACAGGAATCCCTCCATGCAGTATACAGCAGAGGCCGTGACAGAGATGTATATACAGGAATCCCTCCATGCAGTATACAGCAGAGGCTGTGACAGAGATGTATATACAGGATCCTCCATGCAGTATACAGCAGAGGCTGTGACAGAGATGTATATACAGGAATCCCCCATGCAGTATACAGCAGAGGCCGTGTGACAGAGATGCATATACAGGAATCCCTCCATGCAGTATACAGCAGAGGCTGTGACAGAGATGTATATACAGGAATCCCTCCATGCAGTATACACAGCAGAGGCCGTGACAGAGATGTATATACAGGAATCCCTCCATGCAGTATACAGCAGAGGCTGTGACAGAGATGTATATACAGGAATCCCATGCAGTATACAGCAGAGGCTGTGACAGAGATGTATATACAGGAATCTCCATGCAGTATACAGCAGAGGCTGTGACAGAGATGTATATACAGAATCCCTCCATGCAGTATACAGGAATCCCTCCATGCAGTATACAGCAGAGGCTGTGACAGAGATGTATATACAGGAATCCCTCCATGCAGTATACAGCAGAGGCTGTGACAGAGATGTATATACAGGAATCCCTCCATGCAGTATACAGCATGTGTATATACAGAATATACAGGAATATACAGGAATCCCTCCATGCAGTATACAGCAGAGGCTGTGACAGAGATGTATATACAGGAATCCCTCCATGCAGTGACAGAGATATACAGCAGAGGCTGGCTGTGACAGAGATGTATATACAGGAATCCCTCCATGCAGTATACAGCAGAGGCTGTGACAGAGATGTATATACAGGAATCCCTCCATGCAGTATACAGCAGAGGCTGTGACAGAGATGTATATAGAATCCCTCCATGCAGTATACAGCAGAGGCCGTGACAGAGATGTATATACAGGAATCCCTCCATGCAGTATACAGCAGAGGCTGTGACAGTAGGATCCCTCCATGCAGTATACAGAGAGGCTGTGACCCTCCATGCAGTATACAGCAGAGGCTGTGTGACAGACAGAGATGTATATACAGGAATCCCCCGACAGAGAGGTATACAGTATACAGCAGAGGCCGTGACAGAGATGTATATAGAATCCCTCCATGCAGTATACAGCAGAGGCTGTGACAGAGATGTATATAGAATCCCTCCATACAGTATACGGCAATCAGGCAGAGGCTGTGACAGAGATGTATATACAGGAATCCCTCCATGCAGTATACAGCAGAGGCCGTGACAGATGTATATACAGGAATCCCTCCATGCAGTATACAGCAGAGGCTGTGACAGAGATGTATATAGAATCCCTCCATACAGTATACGGCACAGGCTGTGACAGAGATGTATATACAGGAATCCCCCCATGCAGTATACAGCAGAGGCTGTGACAAGATTGTATATAGAATCCCTCAAGCAGAGGCTGTATCCATGGAAGGCTGCGTGTCGGGGAGGAGGAGGACCAGGAAGTCCAGAAAAGGACAGCCTGGAAGGAGGAGGAGGATAGCGGGGAGGAAGTGACTTTTCTGTAGAAGGACGGAGGAGGAGGAATGTGGAAGGCTGGATTCCCGGACTCCTCAGTGCCAGTGTAGCTGGAGGCTGCCAGGGACACCATCACTGAAAGCAGGGACAACACAAAGGAGCCGCTCCAGGCACACCAATGGCTTCTATGGCGGCTGCAATAGCCGCAGCTCGGACTGCTGTGTCGGGTAACCGGCCCCTGGATGAGAAGGAGAGGAATCGCTTCGCCTATTTCTCCTCCCTCAACTCCATGGCCAAGAAGATCATGCAGGATAAGGAGCGGATCCGCCAGCGCTATGGCACTCAGTGGGAGAAGATGCCGCCCAAAGAGCAGGACGATGCCATAGACAAGAACCTGGTGGACCCGGAGCTGCAGAGGAGATATACCCTACACAGGGGAGCCGCCGACACCCAGCCTGACCCCTGCTACCCCGTCCTCAAATCCCAGACCGGCCAGAAGGTGGTGCACTTCGGGGAGGAGGTGGGTACACTGACAGGGACACCCTGCATGGGAAGATGGCAGGGACACACTACATAGAATGATGGCAGGGACACACTACATAGAATGATGGCAGGGACACACTACATAGAATGATGGCAGGGACACCCTGCATGGGAGAATGGCAGGGACACACTACATAGAATGATGATAGGGACACCCTGCATGGGAAGATGGCAGGGACACACTACATAGAATGATGACAGGGACACCCTGCATGGGAGAATGGCAGGGACACACTACATAGAATGATGGCAGGGACACCCTGCATGGGAAGATGGCAGGGACACACTACATAGAATGATGGCAGGGACACACTACATAGAATGATGGCAGGGACACACTACATAGAATGATGATAGGGACACACTACATAGAATGATGACAGGGACACCCTGCATGGGAAGATGGCAGGGACACACTACATAGAATGATGACAGGGACACCCTGCATGGGAAGATGGCAGGGACACACTACATAGAATGATGATAGGGACACACTACATAGAATGATGGCAGGGACACACTACATAGAATGATGATAGGGACACCCTGCATGGGAAGATGGCAGGGACACACTACATAGATAGAATGATGACAGGGACACCCTGCATGGGAAGATGGCAGGGACACACTACATAGAATGATGGCAGGGACACACTACATAGAATGATGGCAGGGACACACTACATAGAATGATGGCAGGGACACACTACATAGAATGATGGCAGGGACACACTACATAGAATGATGGCAGGGACACACTACATAGAATGATGGCAGGGGCACACTACATAGAATGATGGCAGGGGCACACTACATAGAATGATGATAGGGACACACTACATAGAATGATGGCAGGGACACCCTGCATGGGAGAATGGCAGGGACACACTACATAGAATGATGATAGGGACATCCTGCATGGGAAGATGGCAGGGACACACTACATAGAATGATGACAGGGACACCCTGCATGGGAAGATGGCAGGGACACACTACATAGAATGATGGCAGGGACACACTACATAGAATGATGGCAGGGACACACTACATAGAATGATGGCAGGGACACACTACATAGAATGATGGCAGGGACACCCTGCATGTGAGAATGGCAGGGACACACTACATAGAATGATGATAGGGACACCCTGCATGGGAAGATGGCAGGGACACACTACATAGAATGATGATAGGGACACCCTGCATGGGAGAATGGCAGGGACACACTACATAGAATGATGGCAGGGACACCCTGCATGGGAAGATGACAGGGACACACTACATAGAATGATGACAGGGACACACTACATAGAATGATGACAGGGACACACTACATAGAATGATGATAGGGATACCCGGCATGGGAAGATGACAGGGACTCACTACATAGAATGATGACAGGGACACCCTGCATGGGACAATGACAGAGAAACACTACGTAGAATGATGACAGAAACACCCTGCATAGGAGAATGACAGAGACACACTACATAGAATGATGATAGGGACACCCTGCATGGGAAGACGACAGGGAAACACTACATAGAATGATGACAGGGACACCCTGCATGGGAGGATGACAAACACATGGAGGATGATAGGGACACCCTGCATGGGAGGATGACAGGGACACGGATGATGACAGAGACAATCTGCATGGGAGGATGACAGGGACACGGATGATGACAGAGACAATCTGCATGGGAGAATGACAGGAACACGGATGATGACAGACATGCTGCATGGGAGAATAACAGGGACACGGATGATGACAGACACCCTGCATTGGAGGATGACAGGGACACGGAGCATAACAAAGACACCCTGCATGGGAGGATGGCAGGGACATGGAGGATGGCAGGGACACCCTGCATGGGAGGATGGCAGGGACACCCTGCATGGGAGGATGGCAGGGACACCCTGCATGGGAGGATGGCAGGGACACCCTGCATGGGAGGATGGCAGGGACAAGCTGCATGGGAGGATGACAAGGACACAGAGGATGACAGAGACAAGCTGCATAGGAGGATGACAGAGACAAAAAGTAGCGCAAGTACATTTTGGAACGACGGGTGACAGAACGCTCAGACCCCATTCACACCTGAGTGTTTTTTTCAGCTCGAAGCTCGACTCTCAAAAACGCTCAACAAATAAAATCCCATTACTTCCAATTGCCCCTGTTCACACTTGAGCATTTTGTTGCCTGTACCAAAACGCCTATCCCTCAAAAAAGTACTTGGGCTACTTTTCAGGCAGATCTGAGCATTTTGTCATAGACTTGAATGGAAAACCCCTGAACAGTGGGAATGAGAATTTTTTTCAAGTGTTTTTTTTTTTCAGGGGTTTTCAGCTCAAACAGCAGCTATTTCTATTTTTATTGGCCACAGCAAAAATGCCTAAATGAAAAACTCCTATAATATTTGCAAATCTGCTCAAAGACACCTGGAAAACAAAAACACTTGAAAAATGCTTGGCTCAGTGTGAATGGAGCCTCACGTGTGAACAGGGACCACTGGAAATAATAAGATTTTACTGGTTGAGGTTTTTGAGCGTCGAGCTGGAAAACACTGAAGAGTGAACGGGGTCTTAGAAATTACAATTAGTTGGTGTAAAACGTACCTGTAAATAAAAATGTTAGATACTAAGTTATATATACTTGCCGTCCTGTCCTCCATATCTCTGGGCATGACGTCACCGTCCTTCCAGGAGGATTCCTGAGGAACACAGAGCAGGTGAAATCTCGTAATAGGACACTCCGGTCTGCTACAAAGTGTCTCTTCATGAGATTTTGGCTACTCTGTATTTTCCAGGATCTAGTAGGAAGGAATGCGATATCCTCACCTAGGCACCACGGGCAGAAGACGGGAGTTGATTGAGGTTAAATCCGAACTTTCTTTCTTTCCAGGTAGATTTCCACCTCCTAATAGTAGGGATTTCTGAAGAGGGAGGGGGCAGATAGTGTAGTGTATGCATTTTACTACATATGTACTATGTAAATGGTTGCTGATTTAATGGCCATAACAAGGTGCTTATTTTTTTCTCAGCAAGGTTTGCATGATGCTCCTATAAAGTAAAAAGGAAGGACGAATGGTAGATTCTCCTTTTTTGTCTTTGGCAGTCATATGGTATTTAAATCCAGACTTCTTTTTTGTTCTTCAGTTCAAACACGGCGCAAAACAATCAAAAATGGATATTTGGGAGCTCATATCCTGTTTATTTTGTTCCCACTAACGCTCTGTCAGGGGCGGACTGACCATTTGGAAACTCGGGCACTGCCCGAGGGCCTGGGGTCAGTAGTGGGTTCCCATGAGATGCCCCTGGTACCTTTTTCATAGGCTTTTTTGACTTTGGGCAAGGACACAGGGGCCCCATGATCCCCTATTGCCCGGGGGCACCATGAGTTGTCAGTCCACCCCTGCTCTGTGTTGATGTGCTCTGAAGACGTAGGGCATGTTGCATTTTTACATGCTTCCTGCCCCGCCTATAGCAAAATGATGGCAGAGCAGGAGCTTTCCCATCCTGGATGGATGTCCTTCCAGTCACACTCTAGCGGCCACACTGCAGCTCAGTCTTATACCCGCTGTATCCACTGAACACAGCAGATGACAGATCATTGTACAAGGCCGGCCTATGGGCAGCACAGCGGCTAAATGGTTAGCACTTCCACTTGGCAGTACTAGGGTCATTGGTTCGAATCCCAGCCACGGCACCTCTGCCTGGAGTTTGCATGTTCTCCCTGTGCCTGCGCGGGTTTTCTCTGGGTACTCCGGTTTCCTCCCACACTCCAAAGACATGCTGGTAGGTTGATTGGATCCTGTCTAAATTGGCCTTTGTATATGAATGTGAGTTAGGGACTTTAGATTGTATGCCCCTTGAGGGTTAGGGACTGATGTGAATGTACAATATATATGTAAAGTGCTGTGTAAATTGACGGCGCTATACTGTATAAGTACCTGAAATAAATAAATGTGATCGCTGTGAGCAATCACGTCAGTTTGTACTCAGTGAATGCCTTTCATTCATAGCCATTCATCATGTACCATAATGATGATCTCTGTGATTGGTCACAGTAATCACATTGCACAGACAGGGCCAATCACAGCGCCACTGTATCATGTGATAGCTGTGGCCAATCCAGCTATCACAATAGTACATACTGGCAATGAATGGATGCCATTAATAAAAATGATTTCTTACAACAGTGATCACTATTATAAGCAATCATAGTGTAAAACATCTCCCCAGAGTAGTACAGTATCACTATGGCAACCCTGCACTGCTCTGGGTACCATACATTAAAAAAGAGATTAAAAAGTAAAAAAAAAAGAGAAAAAAATATTTATTTTACATACTGTCACAAGTCAGTATCCCTAATCACCAGTACAGCATCATGTGATGACGCTGTACTGCTCTGGTGAAAGTTTGTGAAAAAACATTGTGCAAAAAAAAAAAAATTATTTAAATTTCTTCATTTTACAAAAAATGTAATTCAAAAAACTCATAATGCCATTTACTAAATGGCTTGGACTTTCTGCTTTCCAAAAAAGGGTCATTTGGGGATATCTGTGCTGACTTGACACGTTGGGGCCTCGAGTTGACATAGGCAGTCGGTACATCAGGACTGATCAAATTTCAAAAACATAGTTTGTAGACTCTATAACTTTCACACAGATAAAATACTATACACTGATTTGGATTATTTTTTTACTAAAGAAATGTAGCAGAATGCATTTTGGCCTAAATGTATGCACAATTTTATAACAGAAACAAAGAAGAAAAATTGGTTTGTTTTTTTTTCAAAATGTTTGGTATTTTTTAGTTTATGTAGCAAAGAAAAAAACCCTAGTGGTGATTAAACACTACAAAAAAAAAACTAGTTAATTTGAGTACAGTGTTGTATGACTGAGTAATTGTCATTCAAAGTTGAAAATTGGCCTGGGTAGGAAGGGGGTGAAAGTGTCCGGTATTGAAGTGGTT